GCTTTTTTTATGTGTAAGAGTGGTGGTGCTGCATCAATCACCACACTGTGGTACATATACACATATGTATATATAACATGACTCTCTGTGAGTATGTGTGTGTGTGTGTGTATACACGTGCGCTCATGTGGTTTTAGAGGTTGAGACATCCCAGGATCTGCAGCCTGCAGGCTGGAGACCCAGCATAGCCCATGGTACCAGTCCGCTTCTGAAGATCTGAGAACCAGGAGAGCAGATGGTATAAAGTCCAATCCAAGTGCGAGTCTGAAAGCAAGATTGATGTCCCAGCCCAAACACTCAGGCAAAGAGCAAATTCTTTCTACTCCACCTTTTTGTTCTCCTCAGGCCTTCAGTGGATTGGATGAGACGCAACAATGGCTTTCAAAGTCCACAGATTCTAATGTTAATCTCTTCCCTCACAGACACGCCCAGGATAATGTTTAACCAAATATCTGTGGTGCCTCCGTGGCCCAAGCAAGTTGATAAAATTAACCTTCACAACACAATTATGTATACTATTTCTGGAAGATTGATTATGCGTACTATTCCCAAATTCATCAGTTATTATAGTTGATTGTATTCTGTGTTTACCTTTGAACACTTAAAAATGTTTTGAAAGTGATAGAACAATGAAATAAAGGTATTCTTTCCAAATAAAGTCTTTCTTTGAACACATAAAATTGGGGCTTGTAAAATTTTTAAACAATCTCTGATAATCTGAGTGAAACATGCTGTTATGTTCCATATTCTCTGGAGGGAATCATGCTGTTATGAACACTCCCTGTGACCTCTAGGATACTTGCAATGAAATGTTAGGTTTTAATGTGATTTTTAAATGCCTGGGATAGATTTTACTGTTATGTAAAATGAAGAATGTATAATCAAGTGTTTTAATAATTAAATGTGGCTTTTGGCTATTTGTCCAACTATACTTGAGAGCTATAAATTTAAGATGTATTTTTTTTAAATTTATTTTATTGATTATTTTACAGAGAGGAAGGGAGAGGGATAGTTAGAAACATTGATAAGAGAGAATCATCGATCAGCTACCTCTTGCATACCTCCTACTGGGGATGTGCCCACAACCAAAATACATGCCCTTGACCGGAATCGAACCCGGGACCCTTCAGTCCGCAGGTTGACGCTCTATCCACTGAGCCAAACCGGTTTTGGCTTAAGATGTATTTTGCTCAGCAGTGAGAAGTTGATATTTAACCTTTAGAGGTCAGTGAGGCAGTAAGTAAACGAAGTTAGCCATGGAGCACTCATTTCATAGCTCTTCCCACACGCTGTAGCTTCATTGTGGCAGAGTTGCAATTCTGTCCCGTCCACTGTGCCCCAGAAGTCGTCTTGAAACACTCAACTTGTTTGCCACCGCAGCTGAGATGTTACTTCCATTGCTGACTCTTAAGAGAAAGTCTTTCTTCCTTAAGGACACCTGGCCCCGGAGGCTCCCTTATCAGACCATTAGGGTTCCCTGGCAGCGACTACTTGTGATCAGACATCATTTACAGGAAGTAGACCGGTCTTTCAGCAATTACCGAGAGCTGAAACTTTTTTTTTTTTTTTTTAATATAGTTTATTGATTTTTCACAGAGAGAAAGGGAGAGATAGTTAGAAACATCAATGAGAGAGAAACATTGACCAGCTGCCTCTTGCACACCCCCCACTGGGGATGTGTCCACAACCAAGGTACATGCCCTTGACCGGAATTGAACCTCGGACCTTCAGTTGGCAGGCCGATGCTCTATCCACTAAGCCAAACCGGCTTTGGCCAGAACTCATTTTTAAGCTGTGCCACTTTCCATACATCTTTTTCAGGAGCAAGATAGTCAACAGTTATTTGTGAAGTTAGAAAGCCAACATTTTAAAGATGAATAGCGGTGGTGGTAAATTCAGACCTCTATGTGGCAGGCAGAATAACAGACCCCCAAAGAGACCCATGTCCTGATCCCTAGAACCTGTGAATATGCTGTTTGTTCCATGGCAAAGGAGAATTAATGTTGCAATTAATCACGCTGGTTAGATAACCTTAAAATATGGAGGTTAACTGTGTGACCCCAATATAACCAATCACAGGGGTCCGTGTAAGCAGAAAAGGGAGGCAACCAAAGTGGGAGAGAGGCAGGCAGGTCAGGGTCAGAAAAAGGTGGGACAGCAGCAGGAAGATCAGTGTGTTGCCAGTTGAGGCCTCAACCCACCACTGCCAGTTTGCGTACTATGCTAAAGTTATTTGTTAATGCGGACAGGGAGAGGACCGTGAGCACCCGAATGCAAGCAGCCTCCGGAGGCTGGAGATGGGAGAAGCAGACTCTCCATCAGTCTCCAGAGGGAAGCCATAGCTGCCAATACCTTGATTTAGGCCCAGGACACCGAAGTTGGATCAAACCTACAAGTCTGTGTTGGTTAAGTCCCAGAATTTGTGGTGATTTGTTAAGCAACAATAGCAACTCAATATGTTGTTCATGTTACTTTAGTTTGTTTACTGTAGGCCAAGGCTCAGTTGGAAAACTTGGCTTTGATATATGGAGGCATGGATTCCCTTACAATAAAAAGGGATAGATTTTTAACCTCTAAAAAACCACCAAAGTCTACAAAAATTTCACAAACCTGTTTCTTGGGAACAGAATTGACCTGACCTTTTATTATTTATGTAAAGCTTCCTGTCTTGTTTTATACTGAGATCAAAAGGGGTCAGCAATTTTTTTTTTCCACGAATTACCCCAGAACCAACATCACATTGAAATTTATAGGGCATCTGACTTCTGAAGTTATCTCCTGTGGTTGCGGACAGTAAAAATCTTAAAATGTTTAGGCACTGACATTAGCTTACATCAGCAAAAGGTGACAAAAAAAAAAAATTAATGGAGCCAAGAAAAAGACGAAAGGGAAACTGAGCAAGAGACAATAGGTGTACATAAAATGTATAGAAGCAAACGGTGTAATTGAGGGACAATATCTGTAGGAGACCACATCATGTAAAAGCTTGGATTCTGGAATCAGATAGGGGTATGAAATCAATCTTTGACCAAATTACTTTTTTCAGTCTCTTCATCTGAAAAATGGGCTAAATGAGCACAGCTACTTATAAGGCTATGAGGAAATCAGAACACATGTCTAAGCAGTTAATAAACTAAGGAATACTGCATTACAGTGGGCACTTTCAATATATTATCTTGCTTAACCTTCCATGCTCTCTGTGGCAGCTATTAGTCCTACTTTACAGATGACGTTTAAAGGCTTAGGTCCCAGAGGGAGCCCAGATTTTCATTAAGAGATTCCCAAGTTTGCTTTCTTCTGCACTATACTATTAAAGAATTATAAATTATGCATTTTTCTTAAATCACGAATTCTTTAAAAATTTCAAGGGATTGAAGCTTTACTAAGTTTATAGCAAGTAAATGTTTAAAAATTAAACAGCATTTTGTTTTTACACTGAGCAGCTCCCTCCAATTCTGCCATATCAATAGGTTACTAGAATTTAAAATATTTTCAATAACCTTTATGTTAACTTGAAACAAGCCAATTTAGGAATTTACCGAACTACCTAGATACATTATAGAAATGTATTCTTTGTAATATTTGGCTCATTTTTCTGACAATCGTCGTCCCATAAGATACACATTCCAAGACTAAGGAAAGCGAGGTAATTAGAAGTGCTTCCACTCATTCATGTTATTGCTTCTCTCAACCCATGATTACTTCAAGTACATAAAGTGTCCTTACCTATTATTTCTAGAATATAAAATAGAAATAACTTCCACATATTTAACTTGTGCTAATGTTCTGTTTACCTATTCTAATATTACTGGCATGAGCAAGGTCATTTCTTGATTTTTCTCTTACATTATCACTATTACTGCTCAACTTGCAGTATCTCAAAAGCCAGAAGAAAAGCCACAAAGATGATTAAGACATCTTGGGCCACTGAAGAAAAATGAAACATCACAATGGAATAACACAATTAGAATCACCCAAGACACAAAAACAGGTTTCCATTTCATTACTAACAAAGGTATGTCAATTGAACAAGCTCATTAAAGAGCTGAGCAAGGCTCTCTATTCTTCCAGTATTAAGATTTGTAAACAAAAGGTCATCCATTTCTAGATTTGCCAACTGTACCTTCTCTATTCATAAAGTTGCATATCAACTTGAAAAACTACTTGGTTGTAATTTACAATGACTAATAGCAGGAAGCTTATTTGTAGGAATTAGCTCTGACTTAAGGGGAAAAAAAACACAACTTCTTGAAAAGGTAAAATAGCTTAAAGCATTTAATATCTAAACAAATCAATCTGTTAATAGCAGTAGTCACAAAATATGTTTAATATAGAAACCCACATTTGTCTTAAGAAAAAGTGTAAATTGTATTTTTACCTCAAAACATAAATTAACCCACTTAAAGAATCTGCAGTGGTCAAAATCATGAATTTTAAACAACCTCAGAATAAAATAACCTTAAGTACTTTATACTGCTTTATATCTAAAAATGCTTACAACTTCTCATAAAAATAGTCTGAGGCAACTATTTTTTCTTTTATTATTTAACAGACACATTCAACATTCTGGGCAACATTCTTAAAACCTTAAGCTTCAGACTTTCAAATACTATGGTCCCCTTTTCTTGATGTCGACTAGGGAAAAAAAAAAAAAAAAAAGCATGGTAGACAACTTAATGTAATTTCACCAAATCAAAAGCAGTACAAAAGCTTTAAGACACTACAGAACTACACACCGTACCTAATGCATCATTAAAAATAGAAGACAGTATTTCCCTCAGCAAATAAAACAGCATACGGGTATGCTGTTAATGCATATCTTTTAATGTGTACTGTCATCCATAAGTTATTTACAACTTCTGTGTGAAGAGAACTAGAATGTAAATTTTCTGCAAAACTGGAAAAAAGCAATACAAAATTTGTGAAAGCCTGTTTATGATACAAAAGTCAGTTTTTCTCTTCCAATACCAGATACTGTATGCGGTGACACGTTGCACATATTATAGTAATTCTTGAGGGTGTTTTAATGCTGGAGGTAAGTTCACAGGCCTTGATTCTTCATCAAGGAGCACCAGGTCTTCTATTTCACTGCCTTTGTACTTCCTTTTGCATATTTTGACTACCACCTTTTTCTTGAGAAATACCTTTAGTGCTTCTCTTGATGCAACCGCTTTTGCATTTTCCTTGCTTTTTCCACAGCCAGTGCCCAAATACACAGACTTGCATCTCAACTCACAAACAATGCTTTCTTGGGAGCTCTTACTTTGCGGCAGATCTGCCAGTTCTTTCAGCGGGACGAAAAACACATCCAGGGTTGCTTTCAGGGCCTCAATAGCCGCGTTTAAGAGCTCACCGTGATTCACACTGGGACTAAAGCCACCAACGGCCACCAACTTCCACGCCACCGTTTTGTACAGTCTGTTGAAAAAGGGCTGCTTCTGTTTCACATCTTCATTGGTTAACTTGCAGTAAGAGAATCTGACAGCACTCTCACTTGACTGGGAAGCACTTTTAGAAGGCAACTGGGATGTGCTAGTCTGAGAACTACCCTTGGAAGCCAGTTGGGACACACCTGCTAAGGAAGTGCTTTTGGAAACCAGAGATCCGCTGGCCTGTGGGCTGCTCTTAGACGCTAGTATCGATGCAGCTACCTGCGAAGTGCTTTTGGAAGTGAGCATTGATGTATTTACTGGGGTGCTGTTCTTGGGCGTCAGTAAGGATGTGCCCGAGGAAGAACTGTTCTTAGAAACCGGTGGTGAAACATTCGCCTCTGAACTGGCTTTGGAAGTTGACCCACTTGAAGCTGTCTCTGGACTAGGCTTAGAAGACAACAGTGGCAACTCTATTTCTGCGCTTCCTGAGGAGCCCAACAGTGGCACCTCAACCTCTGAGAGGCTTGGGGAGGCCGAGACCGAAGAGCCTTCCAAAGCACTCTTTTTAGGGGATCCACTTTGTTGACTGGAATCAGTGGACTGGGTCCCGTGACTATTCACACTGGATCTCAACAACGAAGAAACGATGGATGCTGCTGAACTGTGTTTATCTGGGGCTTCTGCCTCAGAAGCCTTGCCAGCCCCTGCTGCGGTGACCTGAGAGGAGGCGCTGCTCGGGCTGGACGCAGGCTGATCGCCATCACTGGTAGAGCTGCTCTGATCGGAGGTGCCGAAGCTCCGGGCGGACGTCCCGCCGCTCTCTGGTTCGGTAGATGACCCTGCACACACCGAGTTGTTTTCCTGCTGAGCTGATGCATGTTCTGTTTTGGCAGAAATCTTTGCATTATCTTGCTCAACTGCAGAACTGGTGTTTCCTTCCAGAACTCGTTTTTTCGTTGGCTCTTCTACCCCTTCTAAAAATAAAAAAAAGAAAGAAAGAAAAACAGATATGTGACTAGTCCACCTCATATACATCAGCTAAAAATACAGAAGACAGAAACTCATTAAAATGAAGGCACAAGGCAAATATATTTTAGAACCAGTAGTTTCTCTAAAACGGGTGGAACAGCCTTGGCCAGTGTAGTTTAGTTGGTGGAGCTTCATCCAGGACATCAAAAGATGGCTGGTTTGATTCCCGGTCTGGGCACATCTCAAGCTGCAGGTCCAATCCCAGTCAGGGTGCTGTGATCTGAATAGCAACCAATGGATGTTTCTCTCTCTCTCTCCCCTTTCTCCCTCTACAATCAATAATAATAAAAAAAAAAAGAAAGAAAAGTAAAAAAGAGAAAGAAAAAAAGGACAGTCTTCCCTGATCCCTTAATTTAAAAAGAAACAATACATGTTAAATAATTTCATTAATTTCTTAAAGAGCATCATTCATTTCTAGTATCAAAAAAATCAACAACAAAGACATTTGGCACTTCAAAACCTCAAAGCAGTTAAAGGAACACTATCAAAATCAGAGCCTAAAAACACAGACACCACAATTCAGTTTTGACATTTCATTTAACATCACAGAAATTCCAGGCCGTTAAAAAGCAGTAACTATTACTAATTGACATCAAACTTATATTCTAAACTCCTATGTATGTTCACATCTATGATCTGCTAACCATTGCTACTTGATATCCCTCTTTTCTTCACCTTGGCAACCAGTTCGTCTCGTGTGGTATGGATTGGAGCATCGGTCACTTTGATGCCTTCAGCCATACTAAGTATTTTATCCATAACTTTTTGGGGGTACCTGAAAAAGAAGGAAAAGCCACTTTTAAGAGGTGTTTTTTGTTTTGTTTTTTTTTTCTTTTCTTTCTTTCTCTCTCTCTAAGCTACTACCTCTGGGGCTGCCAACCACGCCACAGGAGGAACGGCGCTTCCTGGTTGCAATGGAGCAAGTGCACCAACCGCCCGGCACTTTCCCGGAAGCTCGGAAACAGGGCGCCGGCGCCTGGGGGGCGGCGGGCCCCTCCGGGTCCCCCTTCACCTCAGCGCCGGCCACAAGAGCAAGGGGACCAGACGCCCCGGTTTTTAACAATTTGCCCCGCGTCCCTTTAAAAACAAAGTCCCGATTTTTGGAAAGAACCTTTTGGACTTAAAAAAAAAAACAAAACAAAACACCGCGGGACAAATTGTTAAAAATCGGGAGTGTGTGTGTGTGAGTGTGTGTGTGAGTGTGTGTGAGTGTCTGTGTGTGAGTGTGTGTGTGTGAGTGTGTGAGTGTGTGTGTGTGTGAGTGTGTGTGAGTGTGTGTGTGAGTGTGTGTGTGTGTGAGTGTGTGTGTGTGTGAGTGTGTGAGTGTGTGTGTGTGAGTGTGAGTGTGTGTGTGTGAGTGTGTGTGAGTGTGTGTGTGAGTGTGTGTGTGTGTGTTGGGGGCGGGCAATGCTGAGACATGCACACATATAAAACCTTAACAATAAAGTGGAAAAATGAATTTAAGAACCGGGACGCCTGGCCGCCTCACACGGAGGCCGCCCGCCGCCCACTCCGCCGCAGCGCCCTCGGGCCCAGGCCGCTCCGCCATTCCCGCGGCGCCGGCTGAGACGGCCGGAGCGGCGGGCGCGCACTCACCGGCACCCGAGGAAGACGTGGTTGGCCCAGGCCATGGAGAAGGAGACGAGCTGCTGCAGCTGCCGCCGGCGGGCGCCGCTGCCGGCCGCCGCCGCCGCCTCCTCCTCCTCCTCCGCGGCGGCCAGGTCGCCCGCGTTGCGGAGCAGGAACTCCCGGCGGTGGCGCCAGTGCTTGTCGGTCTCGCCGTCGCCGCGCAGCGCCTCCACCCAGGCGGCCGCCCGCGGGTTCTGGCTCAGGAACTCCGGCACGTCCTGCGCCATGTTTCGGGCCTGCGGGTCGCGGAGGAGGCCGCGAGCGGACGCTGCGCCCGGGGAGCGGCGGGGGCGCCGGGCGGGCGGCGGGCGGCCCTGTCACGGCGGCTGCGGCGGGAGAACGCCCCTCCGGAGGTCGCGGCCCAAACAACAGCGCCCGCGCCGCGGCCCGCCCACTTCCGCCCGCCGCCCGCTGCGCCCTTTATCACCTCGCCGCCGCCGCGCACGCGCGCGTCCTTCCGGCGCCGCTCTCCCTCCCAGGGCGCTTTGCGGCGCGCGAGCCGCCGCGACGCTCAGACTCCGCGGGCCGCGGGGGCGCTCCCGGGGCGCGGCGCGGGGCGGGGCGGCCGGGCTCGTGCTCCGCCCGCGGGTGCCTGGCCCCGGGACCCGCTCGGACCCGAGCGTTCGGCGGCTTTGTGACGCCGCCCTCCGCCCTCCCCCAGGCCGCCCCGGCGCCCGCGGGCTCCCGGCAGCGGCCCGCGGGCCCAGCGTCAGGTGACCAGGCCGTCCCGCTTTGGGCGGGACAGTCCCGCTTTCTAACAATTTCCCCCGTGTACCGCGGCGTTTTTAAAAAGTCCCGATTTTTGGAAAGAATCTTTCCAATCTTCCCAGAAATGGGGATTTTTTTTTTTTTAAATGCCGCGGGACGCGGGGGAAATTGATAGAAATCGGGGCTGTCCCGCCCAAAGCGGGACGCTCTGCTCACCTCAGCCAGGCCCCGCTCGGCGTGCGCCTCCGCCAGGGACGCTGGTGTAGAGCGGAGCCCACCCCAAAGCCCGCCTCCTGTTTTCGTTTTACTTTAAATTCTTATTGTTTGAAGTTTTACATGTGACTCTTACCCCCCCCCCCCAGTGACCTCCCCGGGCGCAGGGGGATAATCGCCTCCGCCTTCGGATCCTGCGGGGTCCGTGGACACGGACACAGACGGGCATAACGCGGCTAACGCCTAGCCTGGCGCCGGCGGCCTGCGGGGCCGGGCTGACACCCGTCCTTCCCCGCAGGGTGGGCTCCGGGTGGCTCCGCAGGTCGCCCGCGATCCCCGCCGCCCCCGGGGCGATGCTGGCGGTGCCCACGCCGCCCCCGGGGCGATGCTGGCGGTGCCCACGCCGCGCAGAGGACAGGACGTCCCACATCTGTTTTCTTTTTTTTTTTTTTTTAAATCAATCTTTATTGTTCATATTATTACAAAGGTTCCTCATTTCTTCCTCCCTCCACCAGGTTCCCATCCCACCCTCTGCCCCCTCCCCATCCCCCATTGTCCTCATCCATAGGTGCAGTTTATGTTCAGTCTCTTCTTCCCTCAATTTCCCCAATAGTAAATCCCTTTTCAGATAGTAAATCAGTTACTTAGCATTTTCTCATATCAATAATACCTCCACATGCCCAATGATACACTTCACACAAAAGACATTTCCCAATAGGTCCACCAGCCTCATCCAGGCCCCACCCAAGGCACTCACAGATCAACACCCCAGTCCTAAACTAACTCAACACATCCAGATCTAAGCCTTCATCACTTGATTCAGCAGACCCTCAAGTTTCCACAAAAGTTTCCAGCCATGTCTGAGAAGCAGCTGTGGGGCAGGGGCAGGCAAGGAGCGAGCTGTTCTGGGCCTGGCTGCTCAGGGCCTGGCCTCTGTTGCTCTGGTTCATTCCACAACCAGCTGCTCCGGGTCTGGTCACTGCAGCTCCCGACCTAGTTGCTCTGGACTTGGCTGCTGCTGCTCCGGGCCTGGCCGCTCCCAGCCTGGCAGCCGCTGCTCCGGGCCTGGCCGCACCAGCCCCGCCTGCTCCCCCGGGCCTGGCCGCTCCCAGCCTGGCAGCCGCTGCTCCGGGCCTGGCCGCACCTGCCCTGGCTGCTCCCCCGGGCCTGGCCGCTCCCAGCCTGGCAGCCGCTGCTCCGGGCCTGGCCGCACCTGACCCGGCTGCTCCCCCGGGCCTGGCCGCTCCCAGCCTGGCAGCCGCTGCTCCGGGCCTGGCCGCACCTGACCCGGCTGCTCCCCCGGGCCTGGCCGCTCCCAGCCTGGCAGCCGCTGCTCCGGGCCTGGCCGCACCTGACCCGGCTGCTCCCCCGGGCCTGGCTGCTCCCAGCCTGGCAGCCGCTGCTCTGGGCCTGGCCGCACCTGACCCGGCTGCTCTGGGCCCGGCTTCCCCGGGCCCGGCCGCTCCGAGCCTGGCCACTCCCGACCTGGATGCTCTGGGCTTGGCTACTGCTGTTCTGGGTCTGGCTGCTCCCACCCCGGCTGCTCTGGGCCCGGCTTCTCCGGGCCCGGCCACTCCGGGTCTGGGTGTTCCTGGACTGGCCACCCTGGGCTTGGCCGCCTCCACCTCATGCCTGGCTGCCACTGCCCCAGGTCTGGCTACTCCAGTGCTGGCTGTTGATGCTCTGGTTCTGGCTGCTGTTGTTCTGGTGCCTGGCCGTTGCTGCTCCGGGTCTGGCTGCCACTGCCTTGTGCCTGGCCACTCTAGGCCTGGCCACCGCTGTTCCAACATTCTGTCCCTTTTTTTTTTTCTTTTTTCTTTTTAAAACGCATTTATGTTACAATGTTGGCTGGTGAGTTGAGTTCTGACTTAGTCTTTGATTTTTCAAGATCTTCTTTGTATTCTTTCTTAAGTAATTTTACTATTTTTTGCTCTCACTTGATTTCTTCACATTGAGAACTTCTTTGGTTTCTTCCTCCTTGTCCTGGGAGCTCAGCAGGTTGGCCTGTGGCACCCCTTTGTTCTCCGCGGGCAGCCTGTTGCCGGGGAAGGCGCCGCCCAGGAAGCAGCCCCAGGCCTTGGCTCCATTGCCTGAGCTCAGTGGTCAAAGGCTCAGGGGCACCCACGCCACCAGGGGCCCCGTGGCCCGCCTCCTTGCTGGTGCCCGGTTGGCTGGAGTCCGGCAGGGGCTTCCGCTCCCCTCCGTGTTCCCCCAGCCTAGAGCTTTTTTTTTCTCCTTCCCGCTAGAGAAATCCAGCATCAGAGTCAACAGACTGTCCTCTGCGCGCAGTTTGCAGTTTGCTCGAGTCCCACAGACTGTCCTCTGCGCGCAGTTTGCGCGAGTCCCGGGGGCCCGGCCTTTCGCGCTCTCCCCAGACTCCACCTCACAGCCCAGTCTCCCTCTGCCTGAGCCTGGGTCCCCAGGGATTAGCCCAGAACTGGGGTTCGGAGCAGTCCAGACTGAGGCTCAGCGCCGCCGGAGGCCTTGTTTCTTCCGGCTAGGGCAACCCAGCATCAGAGTCAACATTCAGTCCTCTGCGCGCATTGCGCGCGACTCCCGGGGCCCTGCTTTTCGCCGTTTTTCCGCCCCACAGCCCCGTCTCCTCCCGCCGGAGCCTGGGTCCCCAGGGTCTGGCCCATAACTGGGGCTCAGCGCTGCTGGGTTCGGGGGGGTTCAGCACTGCCGGTTCGGGGGTTCAGCCCAGGCTGGGGGTTTTATTTCCTTCCTGCTAGGGAAGGAAAGGCAGCTCCCCGCCCTCTCCTCCTCTCTGGCTGCGACCTCTCCAAGCGTGCGTGCGGGCAGACGCGCGCGCAGCATGTCTCCGTACCTTAGGCTTTTTTTCAGCTCCTCTGATTTTCTTTCTGGTTTTCTCTTTCCTTCTTGTTGTAGAAATTTCAGTCAGTCGACTACCTGTAGCTCTGGGCAATGTCCACTCTACATTTTAGATGTATTCCATTGAAATTGTTGTGTGCTGCCGCGGCTAGATGTCTACCCGAGCAGCCATCTTGGATCCTCTCTCTCCCCACATCTGTTTTCTGAAACAGTGACTGCAGCTGCACAGCGGCGGGGAACGGCATGGGGGGAAAGGGGCTGGGGTCTCCACTGCCCACACCCGCCCTCTTAGAGCTCCTTCCCCCTCTCCTAGATGCCCCCACCTAACATGTACCGCCCGCTCGGTTATTCTCTGTTAACTATTTCAGGTATACGTATAATGTAAGGTTAACAATAAGCTACAATAGGTGCTATATAATAAGCTTAAACTATGAAATGAAAAATCTCCTTTTACTAAATTTTGGAAAGTGCTTGAATCAGAATAAGAAAAAAATGGTCACTTAGATAACCATTTTTAAAAGCCATGTAATTTATTCAGGGCGGGACAAAAGTAAGTTTACAGTTGTTTTTTTGGAAAATAATACAATCATTAAGAGCAGAAACCGGTTTGGTTCAGTGGCAGAGCATCGGTCTGTGGACTGAAAGGTCCCAGGTTCGATTCCATTCAAGGGCATGTACCTTGGTTGCGGGCACATCCCCGGTGGGGGGGTGTGCAGGAGGCGGCTGGTCGATGTTTCTCTCTCATCGATGTTTCTGGCTCTCTATCTCTCTCCCTTCCTCTCTGTAAAAAATCAATAAAAAAAATTAAAAAGAATACCCCATATACAAGAATAAACTTTCTATTAGACTTTTGCCCCACCCTATATACATGCTGGGATAATTAAAATTCAACTATTAAATGAACATCATATTGCCCCCTTTGCTGCCAGGCCAAAAGAAACTGCATAGAAACAGGCAAAACAAAAAAATTTTTTTTTAATTTGGGATTTTGCTCTTCTTTTCAGGGAAAATTGCTGAAACTTTGGAGGGGTGAAAGGATGAGGAAACCCTTTAATTTAAGATATAGTTTAAAGATGGAAAATATGGGGATGTGCCTGTAAGCAAGGTATATACCCTTGACTGGAATCGATCCTAGGACGCTCAATCCACACAGGCTGACACTCTATCCACTTAGCCAAACTGGTCAGGGCTAAAGTATTTTTTAAGGTTTGTACAGTGTTTTTTAGACATGATTCTGTTGCACACTTAATAGCCTATAGATAGCATAGTGTAAACAGAACTATTATGTGCCCTGCGAAACCAAAATAGTCATACGATTCACTTCATTGTGATATTTGATTGTCGTGGTCTGGAGCCAAACTGGCAATGTCTCAGCGATATGCTGGAACCTTCCTTTTCTGCGGCATTGCGATTACCTCAATTTTAGGAGGCTCCTTGGGTACCTACTGATGTAAAGAAATGGAGAACTGTGGGC